TTTCCTTTTCTTCCCCACACATCCCAAGGGTAACAAATGTGCACTCCTTTTGCTATAAACCTCACTCTTCTGAAGAGGAAAAAGGGAACCTGCTAATTACCAAGTGTCTCATATGTATCAAGTCCTATACTTGGTCCTTTAACATTTATTATTGCATTTAATTTTCTAAACTACTGTACAGTATATTATTTAAACCTCCATTTTCCCGATGAAGAAACTGATGCTGACAAGGGTAAAACAATTTGTTTGAGGATGCACAATTAAGATTCAAACCCAAATCTATATGTCCCTAACTAAGAGCTTTGCTCTTTTCTTGATGTGAGGTTACTACTATTGGTTGCAAAGTTATTATCTGAAAGAGAAATAACCTAGGTGGCTAGATACATATGCATAGTTAGCCACAGTCCAGGGAACGAAGCATGTGGACAAGCTAACAAATAGTAAGCACTGTTGAGGTACACAACCTCTGCCAGGTTCATGGCTAGGCACTGGGCATGCAGTGGTCTCTACTCTTGGGAATTTTATAGGTCTGTCTATATTGTCAACTTACCCAGAAGTTTAGAGGATTCAGCCACATTTTTTGTGATACTTTGGAAGAGTGTCTAGCTGCAGTATGGGATACCTAAGAGTAGCTCTAATTTTCTGAAAGCGTAATTGTTCTTTTACTTTATTTTTTTAAAGGTAGTTACATATGCTTCAGTAAACTGTTGATTACAGGGAAAAATTGATATAAGGTCTGACATTATTCCTGGATAATGACATTTAACCCTCATTAGGTAGTTTTACACATACACCCTGACTTCTTCAAAACAGTCCAGAGTCTATGATTTTGTACTCTTTAATAAAGCCAAACAGGAAGCAATCCCTTTGAAAACTGGCACAAGACAAGGATGCCCTCTCTCACTACTGTTATTCAGCATAGTACTGGAAGTTCTGGCCAGACAATCAGGCAAGAAAAAGAAATAAAGGGTATTCAATTAGGAAAAGAGGAAGTTATATTGTCTTTATTTGGAGATGACATGATTGTATGCTTAGAAGACACCATCACCTCAGCCCCAAATCTCCTTAAGCTGATAAGCAACTTCAGCAAAGTCTGAGGATACAAAATCAATGTGCAAAAATCACAAGCATTCCTATACACCAATAACAGACAAACAGAGAGCCAAATCATGAGTGAACTCACATTTACAATTGCTACAAAAAGGATAAAATACCTAGGAATACAACTAACAAGGGACGTGAAGGACATTTTCAAGGAATATTACAAACCACTGCTCAAGGAAAGAAGAAAGGACACAAACAGATGGAAAAACATTCCATGCTTATGGTTAGGAAGACTCAATATCATGAAAATGGCCATACTGCCCAAAGCAACTTATAGATTCAATGCTGTCCCCATCAAGGTACCATTAACCTTCTTCACAGAATTGGAAAAAAAAACACCTTAAACTTCATATGGAACCAATACACAGCTGCATAGCCAAGACAATACTAAGGAAAAAAGAAAAAGAAAAGAAAAAAACACACAAAGTTGGAGGCATCAGACTACCTGACTTCAAACTATATTACAAGGCAACAGTAATCAAAACAGCATGGTACTGGTACAAACAGAGATATAGACCAATGGAACAGAACAGAGGCCTTTGAAGTAATGCCACACATATAGAACCATCTGATCTTTGACACACCTGTCAAAAACAAGCAATGAGGAAACGATTCCCTATTTGATAAATGGTGTTGGGAAAACTGACTTGCCATGTGCAGAAAGCAGAAACTGGAACCCTTCCTTACACCTTATACAAAAATTAACTCCAGATAGATTAAAGATTTAAACATAAGACATAACACCATAAAAACCCTAGAAGAAAACCTAGGTAATACCATTCAGGACATAAGCATGGCCAAGGACTTCATGACAAAAACACCAAAAGCAATGGCAATAAAAGCCAAAATAGACACGTGGGATCTAATTAAACTAAAGAGCTTCTGCACAGCAGAAGAAACTTTCATTAGAGTGAACTGGCAGCCAACAGAATGGGAAAAAAAATTGCAATCTACCCATCTGACAAAAGACTAATGATATCCAGAATCTACAAAGAACTTAAAAAAATTTACAAGAAATAAATAACTCCATCAAAAAGTGGGCAAAAGATATGAACAGACACTTACGAAAAGAAGACATTTATGCAGTCAGCAAACACATGAAAAGCTCATCATCACTGTTCATTAGAGAAATAGAAATCAAAACCACATTGAGATCTCATGCCAGTTAGAATGGTGATCATTAAAAAATCAGGAGACAACAGATGCTGGAGAGGATGTGGAGAAATAGGAACGCTTTTACACTGTTGGTGGGAGTGTAAATTAGTTCAACCATTGTGGAAGACAGAGTGGCGATTCCTCAAAGATCTAGAAATAGAAATACCATTTGACCCAGCAACCCGATTACTGGATATATACCCAATGGATTATAAATCCTTCTATTATAATGACACATGCACACATATGTTTATTGTGGCACTGTTTGCAATAGCAAAGACTTGGAACCAACCCAAATGCCCATCAGTGATAGACTGTATAAAGAAAATATGGCACATGTACACCATGGAATACTATGCAGCCATAAAAAGAATGAGTTCATATCTTTTGCAGGGACATAGATGAAGCTGGAAACCATCATTCCCAGCAAACTGACACAAGAACAGAAAACCAAACACTGCATGTTCTCACTCATAAGTGAGGGTTGAACAATGAGAACACATGGACACAGGGAGGGGAACATCACACACCAGGGCCTGTGCAGGGGTAGGGGACTAGGGGAGGGATAGCAGGGGATGGACTATAGGGGATGGATAGCATTAGGAGAAATACTTAATGTAGATGACATGTTGATGGATGCAGCAAACCATCATGGCGCATGTATACCTATGTAACAAACCTGCACGTTTTCCACAGGTACCCCAGAACTTAGAGTATAATTAGAAAAAAATAAAAATAATTTTTAAAACGTCAATTTGTTAAACTTCTAATGAAAGATAATTTAATTTGTATGCTTTGAATAAGCATGATGAGAAAAAAAGAGGGAAAGGCTCTCTGTTCATTCCCTAAGTCTTGATATGGGGTTTTGGAAACAAGCCTGCCTTGCCTAGACAGAGGTTTCAAAGCCATGGTTAGAGACATGCTAGGGTTTAGGCCACATGTTTATTAGGTGGGTTGAGCTCTGGAAACCAAGTGAAATGAGGTGTCTCAGACCATCAAAAGCCAGCAGCAGCTTGTCATGGAGATTTTAAATGCCTACTATGGGAACTTAGTTCAAGAGGAGGGCTACTTCTTGGTTCCTGACAATATTTTTCTGTTTTGTGGGCAAAAGGGGAGATAAGAACGTTGTCTAGATCAGTATCCTGGCCCTGTTACTGTGGCATTGAACTTCCTGGTCATGAGGGATATGAGAATACTGAGTTTTTTGTTCTCAGTGAGAAGAGTACATAGCAAGGGGAGGGAAGCATGCCTACTGAGGTCAATACCATTGGCCGGGGAACAAATCAGCACAGAAGAGAGTATGTTTATCTTTTGCAAACATGGATCTTGTAGCCCAGTTTCCTTTGAATGAAGGAATGGGAAAGAATGGCCCAGTTGTTGATGGAAAAAGGTGCACTTAAGCAAGAATGCCAGCTAGGATGACTTAACCTATCTCTTTTGGGGACCTTTGAGTGGAAGAGTGGTGACCTCTCAAGGTACACATGTACACTCTCCTCTCTTCTGACTTAAAGTACACATTTAGGACCTTTGACACTTTTAGAAACCACTTGAAATTCACCCCAGTATGAGGTCATGAGTAATTAAAAAATACCTCATGCTACCTTTCTTTTTGAGTAGGATAAGCCCCATGTATGAATTACTGGAACCCCTTCATTAAAATTCCTCTTTGTAGAAGACAACCTTTCTGAATACTTAACTCTGCCTTATTTTGTATAGCTCTTCAGAATGGTTTGATGGACCTTAGCAGCTTTAATCCTTCCAAGAGCTATGTATGGTAGGTGAAGAACATGCTATCCCTTTTGCTTATATTAAGTAATCAAGGCCAAAACAGATAAAGTGATACGTCACAGATTGCAGGTTGAAAAGGTAAGAGCCAAGTAGGGTGACCAATTATCTCACTTTGCCCAAAACTATTCCAGTTTTAGCATTGAAATTTCCATGCTCTAGGAAATCTCTTCATCCTGAGCAACAGGATTATTGGCTATCCTATAGCCAGGATTGGAATCCAGATCTAATTTTCAGTCCAATGCTAGTTCTACTGCCATATGCATCTGTCTTCCAAGAACTTATCTGAGTAATGTTTCTCTTTCTGTGAACCTTAGTGCACTAAGATATTTCTACATGCTGGATCATTCTACCCTCCCATTCTGCCTAGGACAGAAGCAATGGCAACTAGTGCCTCCGAGGACCACTGTTGTCAAAGAGAAACCATGTTTTAGCTTTCTCAATTACAAAATAAAGATGATAATCCCTATACTGCTGACCTCACATGGATGTTGTATAGATCAAATAATAATAGGTGTGAAAGTAGTTTCTAAATTGTTATGATCTGTTCACACATGAGGGCTTGTGAGTATTCTGTACCCCCTGGGCAGAAGCCAACTCCTTGTCTTATTATTCTCTTTACAAATTCAGCTCCTGGTATAGCCACTGACTGTGAATTTGAGCAAATAGCTTGGTCTCTTTGCCTCAGTTTCTTCATCTGTAAAATGTAGCTAATAATAATTCTTAACATAATTGTTTTGAGAATTGGATGAGTTATTACATGCAAAGCATTTACAAGAGTTCATGGCATATGGTCAGAACTATATAAGCATTAACTCTTTTGTGTTCGCTTCCTCAGCCCCACTGTCTCAGAGCCAGAGACTAGATTAAGAGGACCCAGAAACCAAGTGACATGGAAGCCACTACTTACAGTCCCTTTGCACTAACTCCCTAGTTCTTATGTTCTGTACCCACAGCCTTCCCACCATGGATTGCCAAGAAAATGAATACTTGGACCAATGGGGACGGTGTGTCACCTGCCAGCAGTGTGGTCCTGGACAGGAGCTATCCAAGGTAAGTTCTCCTTAATCAGTACACTTATTTTTGTCACAAATTAGGAACCAGCCTGGCAACTGAAAGAGGCCAAGATTAGGGGAGTCATCCCTACCTATGACTGATCCAGTTCAACAGGTAAAACCTGGGATCCACAGAGTATGCAATATCAGTCATGGTTCCAGCATGAAGTCAGCCTAGCAGGATCATGGCCAGGAGAGTTTCCATGAGATAATAGGGTATTTCAAGAAGAGATGTCTTGTGCAGAGATCCATGAGGACTGTTAAGCATTAGGGAAATCTGTTAGCTAAAGCAAAGCCACACCACATGGTGCTGAAGAGCCAGATATCAGATCTTAGGAATCAGAAAGGGAGAAGAACCAAGTAGTGCAGATTCTCTGAACTCCAGCCTCTGTTCTAGAGGATCTGCACTACTGCAGAAGCTGTGCAATGAAGAATTTAGGGATGTGGAACCAGGGAGGGTCTAAAATCCCAATTAAAGATAAGGATCAGAACAAAATGACCAGCAAGGCAGAGACTTCATACAACCTACTTGTTTTCAAGCCTGGATCTGCTTAATTGTTCTTTCCTCAGGTCCTTTGTTGGTCCCTGAACCTGGGAGTGATATTAAATTTTGGCTGCAGCTGGGGCTACAGAGTCCAGAAGCAGATAGCTAGCAGATGTTTTCTACATACTCATGCCCTATTTTATGCAATTGCTTGTTCATTCAGCAATTGCTTAATGAACTCTTGCAGAGTGACAGGCATGTTTGTAGATACCATAGATATGGAAAAATGGACAAAAATATTTGTCCTCATGGGCATTTTACTATTAGTGAAAAAAATAATAATTGAGACACATACACAGATAAATAAAGAATCTAGATATGAAGATATGAGAAGAATCAAATTAAGGTGATGTGATACAGAGTGACTGGATGGCTACTTCAGCTTATGAAACAGGGAAAGGTCTCCCTAAGGAGACACCCTCTGAGGAGAGGATACTAGTGCAGAGTCCCAAGGTGAAATGAACTAGGCATGTTGAAGGAAAAGGGAGCAATGTATGTATGGTAAATGAGAGGGAGAGTAGTGCACAAAGAGGTCAGAGAGCGAGGTATGGACCAGACCAGATAGGGGCTTGAGCTCTATGAGAAATGATCATTTTTCTCTAAGTGCACTAGGAACTCTTTGGAGGGTTTTGGGTGGGAAAGTTACATGAGTCTGTGGCTAGAAAACAATATAGCAGTTAGTTATCTAGCCCACTTTCTTCCTACCCTTGTATTTTAAAAAATGAAGAGAATAAGGCCCAGGGATATCAAGGGATACAAGTACGAATTCTAATTTTTTTTTAAGATGGTATTTTCCCCTGTCACCCAGGCTGGAGTACAGTGGCTCGGTGCAACCTCCGTCTCCTGGGTTCAATCCATTCTCCTCCCTCAGCCTCCCTAGTAACTGAGACTACAGGTGCATGCCACCATGCCCAGCTAATTTTTGTATATTTACTAGAGATTGGGTTTCACCATATTGGCCAGGCTGATCTCGAACTCCTGACCTTGTGAGGAGTTTGGGAACTGAGGCAGAACTCCCGCCTACCTAAGCTTCCCAAAGTGCTGGGATTACAGGCCTGAGCCACGGCTCCTGGCCCACTAATTCTAAGTCTTTACTCGTGGTATTATGTCCCATAGTGCGGTACCCACATGGTTAATAAAGGACCCCAGAACCAAGGAAAGATTACCAGAGGTTAGGTCATGCTGTACACTAAAATGGATATAAAAGCACACATATATATAAAGCTTGTATTAAATGGATATTAAAGCACATATGTAAAATGCACATATATAAAACACTTATATAAAATGGATATTAAAGCACATATTGGATCTAAAGCTTCTGTATATAGTATATGTGTACGTATGCTATATACAGAAGCTTTAGATCCAATATGTGCTTTAATATCCATTTTATATAGTATATCCATTTTGTATAGTATACATACACATATACTATATATAGAAGCTGTAGATCCAGATACACGTAGGCATGAGTCCCATCTGTGTTCTGGGCATATTATTTTACCTCAGAATCAATTAGGATGTATTAAGTTGAAAGTAACATATAATTTAACTGTGACGTGAACCATATTTATTTATGTAATGAAGTCTGGAGACAGGCAGCCATTTTATTTGTTAGGCAGATCAGCAATGTTATCAAGGACTCAGGCTCTTATAATCCTTCATTTTGGACACCTTGCTGTTTTGTTATGATTGTGGGCTCATGATTGCCAAACTCGAAGCATCATATCTTCACATAGTCAAAGTCAGGAATCAGTTACAGGGTCAAAAAAGCTTGCCTTTATAGGGAAGAAGTCTTTTCCTAGAAGCTGTCCAACAGATTTTTCCTTATATCTTATGGTCTATAACTGGGTTATGTAGCTATCTCTATCTGGAAGAGAGACTGGGAAATAAGTGTCTGGCAAATGAGAATGGGATTTTATGATTAAGACCGATCAAGAATCCATTCTTGAGGCTGGTCATCATGCTACCTAGAATGAAATCAGTGTTTTCATAGTAAGGAAGAAGAGGGGCATTGATGTTTGAATAAGCAGCTAGAAGCATCTGGCTAAAGTTACTTTTATTTACTTTTAAATTTTATTTATGAGTTATAAGCATCACTGTAAATAAATATTTGCAGAAAATTGACACCATTTCCACAGGACATTTTTCTTGATGTGCAATTGCAAAGCTAAATAATGCATACAATTTTAAGACGCTTGAAATATATCAGCAGATAACACTTCGGAATTTTGTTTTCACTAATTTCCATTACAATTACATTTATTTTCAACAGTGCATTGAATTCCCATGTCCGAGAAGCCTAACTGCACATGAATAATACATATTTTCATCATCCATTAATTTTATGCCTTACTTTATAGTATTAATTACTAATTTATGAGGACTTTATGAGAATTTTGGTTTTACTTTTTTTTATTTGATAGGGGAAATGTACCAACTTTATTGTGTTTATTTATCCATTTGCATTTTTTATTTTGTGATCTGTTTCTTATTGTTTCTCTTTCTGTTCTTTCTATTTATTTATTGTTCTTTGTGTACTCACTTAAGGAACTTAAGTAGACAGACATATAGTAGATAACAGAGTATTTTAAAAAGCGTTTATATAAAATATATAAAATATATTAACATGTAAGTGTATTTGTACTTAAAAACCAGAAATGGTTTTAAATTTTGTTTCATTTTATTATCATCTATTGATTTTTTAAATATATTTTCCCTTTAATGTATTAATTTGATGACATATATTAATAAATTCTTTAAATTTAAATATCTTGCATTCCCAGTCTAAACCATTCTTGATTATAGGTTTAAGAGAAATGCCCTTTTATGTTGTATAAGTTAGTATTTTATCTAGAACAAATAATTATTCTTATAGCACCATCAGCATCAAAATTTTGGATCAGCATTGTGCAACCATGGTAAAATTAAGAAGATCAATGGTTTCTGGTCATAAAACTAATTAGTAGCAAAAGGATTTTTGCACTTTAATCATTTGAAAGAACTTCCTAATTATGAAGAAAAATTCTTAATAAAATTTTAATGATAATTTGCTCCTTAAGTTATTAAAAAATGATTCATTTATTTAAGAAATTTATATTGAATACAATTGGATAGATTTTGGTTTTATTTCGCTATGCCAATTTCTGTCTTTTAATTGGCATATATAGATCATTTATATTTACAATAATTATTGATATTTGAGGATTAAGCCTGACATTTTATTCTTTTTTTTTTGTTTTCTCTGTTTTTTGTCCCTCTATTTGTCTTTTCATACATTCCTGTGGGTTACATGAACATTTTATTTAGGACTCCATCATGATTTATTTGTAGGGTTTTTGAGTGTATCTCTTTGTATCATTTTCTTACAGGTGGTTCTGGTATTACAATATACATATTACTTTTTCAGTGTCAACTGGCATCAGAGTTTTGCCATTTAAAGTGAAGTATTGAAATGTCTATTCCCTTTAGACTCCTTTACTTTCCCCAGTATTAAATATCATTGTCACAAATATCAGATATAATTTTTGTTAAATTTGTTTTAGTCATTGACCATGATTTATAAAATATATGAAGAGAAAGATAGTACAATTTATATGCCCATATTTTTTCTCTTCCAGAGTTCTTCCTTCCTTCCTGATGCTCCAAGAGTTCTCTTATCACCTCTGTCTTTTAAATCATTTCATTTCTGTTTTATGAACTCCCCTTAGCCATTATTTAAGGGTAGGCCTACTAGCAACTTACTCTGTTAGTTTTTCTTTGCCTGAGAATGTTTTTATGTCCCTTTATTTCCGAGGATACTTTCACTGGATATAAATCTGCAGTTGACAGTTAATTTCAGTACTTGAAAAATGTGATACTTCCTTCTGGCCTCCGTGGCTTCTGATAGAAATCCACTGTTGTGTCATCTGAAAGAGTGTTTTTCTATAGTTAATGTCATTTCTTCTTGGCTATTTTCAATATTGTTTTATTGTCTTTAGTTTTCTGAAGTTTTATGATGTGTATTGGTGTGCATTTCTTTAGATTTATTATATTTGGGGTCTGTTCATCCTCTTTAACTTGTAGGTCTTTTTGCCAAATTTGTGAAGTTTTCTCCCAATTTATTTGAAAATATTTTTAGATACACATTTTTAAAATGTTCTTTTCATAAGATTCTGATGATATGATTATTCTATAATTTGTTGTAGTCTCATAGGTTCTTGAGGCTTTGTTCATTTTATTTTGTCTGTTTTCTTCCTGCTGTTCATGTTGCATAAATTCTATTGTTCTAGTCTCAAGTTTACTGATTCTATCATCTGTCTCTTCTCTGCTACTAAGCCCATCCAGTGAGGTTTTCTTTTTAATATCTGTCATTTTATCTTTAATAATTGCTATCTGCTTATTTAAAACAAAACTTCGGTTTCTTTGATGATATTTTCTATTTTTAAGAGAATTTTCAATTGGTTTTTAAAACATTTTTATTATGGGTGCTTTAGAATTCTTTTTCAGTCATTCCAGCATCTGCTTTATCTAAGGGTTGTTGTCAGTTAATTGACTTTTCTTATTCATGTTGTGATTTTCCTTATGCTTATTATCATGGGTGGTTTTTCATTGTATTCTGGACATTTTGTCAATTATGCCAGGAGACTCAGAGTCCTATTTAAATCTTTTACGTTAGCACTCAGTCATCTGTTTAGGTTTAGCATACAGTTTCTGGTCTACTTTTATGAGCTGCAGCTCTAAAGACTGTTTAATTTCCAGGACCATTGTGGTGTGATTTTTGGTCTGTGGGGTTTATATTGTGCTGCCTTAGATATAGAAGGAGTTTTCCTGGACCAGGTCACTCGATCCATCTAAGTCGGCATAAAGAAGTGTCTGAGTTGTGGAGTCAAAGAACATTCCCCAGACTGGACCACTTGTTATTAGTAAGATACCACTTGCCAGTATAGCCACCTGTTCCTTTGTGGGGGAAAAGAATCTCAGACCCTCAGGATAAAGAGATATTTAAGCTGGATCCTTATGGTGGAATCTCAGGTGCCCCCTGCAGCCTATTGTCTCTAGTTGTGGGTGGGGAATCTCAGGCCCATAGGAAGAGGCTTCTCACGCCAACAATTTATGCCTCAATTTTGCTTATTTGTGAAACATGGATTATAATGCACCCTTTTGAGGTTTTATGAAGAATAAACAAGATTGTAACATCATGAGTATGTGGATTTTTGTCTGATTGATTCAATTATTTAGTCACAGTATTCAGAATACCACCCTCACACATTGTAGTTGCTTCAAAACTGTTTTCTGAGTTAACCAATAAATAAAAGGGAGTGCTAACCAATCAGTCGATCAATCAGTCAACTTATTGGTTAATTTTGAATAAATGCTAGTTTGTTTTGTCATTCCCTTATCTAGCAAGCAAGTAAGTGAGGAGTCAGGCACGGGTCTTCTGATTCCAGTGATCTAGATGGTATAAACACTTGCTTTCCAGAAGAACAATATCTAATGTTTATCTGTTAATTGAAGGATTACTATATTCTAGGCATAGTGACAAGCATTACAAACAACCCCTACACAGAGTTATATATGTATCTGTGTATGTTGTGTGTGTGTGTGTGTGTGTGTGTGTATCTGGTTAAGAGACATCTTTTATCTGGGATAAGAGCTGTTTATGTTTCTTTTTCTGTGAATATATATTTAGTTTCTCATAAAGTTGTTGTTGTTGTTAATTTATACCACTTCTGTATGTTACAATATAAATCTTTAGTCTGTGATATGGTTTACATTTTTTACTAGTTTGTTATTTGTCTTCTAATTTTGCTTATGAATCTTTTATCCTGAAACTTTTTTGAATTTTTAGGTAATTAGAACTATCTATCTTTCCTTTATTGCTTCTGGACTTTGAGTTGCAGTTAAAGAAGATTTCTCTATTCCCAGATTAAAGAGGAATTTATTTATCTTTTGTTTTGGTACTTTTGGGTTTTAATTTTTATCGATAAATTTCTGATCTATTTGGAATTTATTCTGGTATATAGTGTGAGGAATGTATCAAATTTGATCATTTTTCACATTATCTTTCTGGTATCCACCATGACCTATTTAAAAAGCCAGCTATTCTTCATTACTTTGAGATATTCCCTTGTTCATTTGGTCAGCTTGTGTAAACTTAACAAACCTATAATTTGGATAGCATTATTTCTGACAAGAAAATTCAGGCCCAATGACATGCCCAAAGTCACAGGGCTGGTCAGTGGTGGAAGTGGGAGTTAAAGCTAGGTCTTTGCTACCTTGGATCAGGGATTTCCATCACCACATTGTGTTTCCTATTAATTTGACCCTCAGCTCACTGTTTAAAACAGATATGGCAGCTATCACTATTCCAATGCTGCACATAAGGTAGCAGAGAGTCTGAGAAGCCCTTTGCCTTTTCAAGAAAATTACATTATGAGTAAAATGGCTAGTGCCCATGTCAGATCCCATTGGTATATGAGATCATTGTGAGTGAGGCTGTATGTAAGGCATTGGGTAAAGCCTGAGTGGGCAAACACAAGGACAGAATGGTGGGAGTATTTAGAGTCTGCCTGATGCTCACTGTTTCCAACTCCTGGGAAAGTATAACTTAAATGTTAGTTCAGGTAATACTAACTGCTGCAACAAATGCTAAAGTTTGGTGACATAACAGATTAAGTATTTATTCCTGAATGTAACTCCAATTCATGTTGGGGAGTAGGAAGATTCTTCTCAGCCATTTAGAAACCCAGACTTATTGGAGATCTGTGTTTTTTAGCAGCCTTATTAATATACAGTTTCCATACCAGGCAATTCACCCATTTAAGTTTACAATTCATGGTTTTTTGTATATTGCATTATGATTTTTAAGATTGTGGTACAATATATAACCTCAAATTTGCTGTGTTAACCATTGTAAGTGTAGAATTCAGTAGCATTAATCGCATTCACAATGTTGTGCAACCATCATCCCTTTATTTCTAAGACTTTTTCTTACCCCAAATACAGTCTCTGTACACATTAAGCAGTAACTCCCAATTTCCCCCTCCCCAAAGTGCCTGATAGCCTCTACTCTACTTTCTAGCTCTACAGATTTTCCTATTCTATATATTGCATATAAGTGGAATCATATTTTCCATGCATTCACCTTTACCAGACATATTACTCTTTGTATGGCTTTGGGTTACTGTCCAATGTCCATTCATTTCAGCCTGAAAGACTCCCTTCTTGTAGTCAGGTCTAGTGATACCAATGAGCTATTTTTTATCTAGGAATGTTTTAATTATTCCTTTATTTTTGAAGAACTTTTTTGCTATATATAGAGTTGTTGGTTAACAGTTTATTTGTTTAGGCACTTAAATACGTCATCTCCCTGACTTTCAGTCTCTGCACTTTGTGATGAGAAGTATGCTTTGAATCTTATTGAAAGTACCTTTATTTGGCAAATAATTTTACTCTTGATTTTCAATATTTTCTTTTGTTTTCAGCTATTAATATTTGTTTATAGTGTATCTCAGCATGGGTCTCTTTAAGTTTATCCTGCTTGGAGTTTCTTGAGCATCTTGGATGGGTAAATTGATGTATTTTATCAAATTTGGGAAGTTTTAAGCCATTATTTCTTCAAATATTCATAACACGTCTTCATCTCACCTACGAGGGGGAAGATCTAGGGCAAAACCAACTTTACGGCCATACTTCTGCACGACTTGTGGAAGTGGAGGAAGAGGAGGTGGATCCGGGAAGGGCCAGGAGGTTTTCTGCCAGGGGGCAACTGTGGAACACCATGTCCAAGAAGAGGACGGATAGAAACTGCCCGAATTGGAGGTGCATAGGCTGAGGTTTTCTTTAGGATGGAGGGTGGATGGGCACCAAGAAGTGGAATGTCCTGGATCAAAATGTTGGAAGAAGCATGTGGCATATCTGGCAAAGGAATACACTCCACTTCCACATGCTGAGCATTCTGGACAGCATCAAAATACTGGCTAAGTTGAGCCCTCTTCTGTTCATACTCTATCTCTAGCTTTCGCAATTCTTTGTAAATATCTGTTCTCTTTTTCATAGAGTCGTAGAATACGTTCAAAGGTTTCACGCAGCTTTTTACACTTGTCTTTCAGTACTTTCTCATTTAATTGTGGCTGTTGCACTGGGTTAAACTCCATTTCATCCAATTTCTCCATATCTTCGATAATCTGTTTTGGATCCCTCATCTTTAAAACTGCAGCTCAAATCATCACGAGCCTTTTTTGTTGTTGTTGTTGTTCTTCAATTCTCGCTTCCGGGCTTCTTTTCGGGCTGGATCTGTGGGGTTCATAAATTTTCCACTCTTAGTGGATGATGTAGATCTCCGTCCCATGTTGACAATTTGTATGGTTTACTTGTTCATTAAAAAAAGAAAAACACTTCGGCTGTGCTCCAAGGACTGCAAGAAGCGGGGAGGGAGTGATTCCTGACCTCTTTTACTTGGTAAGGGCCTTCAACTCGGCCTCTCAGTCTACCCCTCAGCTACCGCCATCTTGAAAGCTTGACTTTCATGTATTTTATCTGTAAAATTTTTATAAAACAGTACTGATGTGGGTAGTGCTTAAGACTATTTGTTAAATATTTCAGCTCCCCACATTCCACCACATTGAAGAATTGCATTTTCTTGTACCCTTTGTAAATATTAATGATCATGTGATGTGTACGGCCAAGGACATGTGAGTAAAGCAAAATGGGTCATTTCTTGGGGAAAACTTTAAGAGCTTGTACATAGTTCACAATGTTGTAATCATGGCAGCACAAAGATAAAGCTTCTGTAACTCTGGGTACCCCATTGAGGATGATGTAGAGTAGAGCCCTCAGGAACCCCTTGGTAGGCAAATATAATAAGTGAGAAATAAACTTTTATTATTTTAAGACACTGAAATTTAGGGTTTCCCTTTTGCCATACTACAGACTAGCTTATGCTGACTGATACAAATATTTAGCTTTACTTCATTCTATGTACTCTTATATTTGATACTATTATTCTATTTTATCTTTCAATGCTGGCTGCAACCTAGTGAATTGGTCTTATGACCTAGTAGTGGGGTTACAACTTGGAGTTTGCAAAATACTACTCTGTACAAGTCCACTTATCCCATAGGTGATCCCATGTAGAGCAATATTAACAACTCCCATCTCTCTACAGGATTGTGGTTATGGAGAGGGTGGAGATGCATACTGCACAGCCTGCCCTCCTCACAGGTACAAAAGCAGCTGGGGCCACCACAGATGTCAAACTTGCATTACCTGTGCTGTCATCAATCGTGTTCAGAAGTTCAACTGCACAGCTACCTCTAATGCTGTCTGTGGAGACTGTCTGCCCAGGTGAGCCTGGTTTATGAGACCAAGTTTGTCTGGGCTTTTCTAGCTGTTGGAGGTTTCTCCCATCCTCACCTCTTAGAACTTAGTTGAGGTAGTCTAACCATCAACATAATATTCAGTTTAAGCTCCCAGAAGAGAGAAGTGGTATCTTCCTAAGATTCCTCTATAAGGTGCCTAGCACATTGTCAGTCACAAATGAGTACTTCACAGCTTTTTCATCATCACTCTCAGCCTAGGACCAAAGTTCAAGATAAATCTCACTGTAGACTTAAAAGAAGTTATGATGCATTTGGTAGCAAAGCAGTTCTTCCCTCTCTTTGGAATTAGGTCTCCTTTGGGCTACATGGTGTGGTGAATGGGGAAAGAAGTGGACTGTCTAGGCTTCTGAGTCAGAATAAGACACAGAGGCAGATAACTCACAATGATGGGTGGGCACTTATTTTCAGGTTGGCAAAATTCTTAGGAGCTGTTAGAACTGGTCCAAGTGCTTTCCTTGTTTGATCACCCTGCCATTCCTAATTGCTCTGAACACAGGTTCTACCGAAAGACACGCATTGGAGGCCTGCAGGACCAAGAGTGCATCCCGTGCACGAAGCAGACCCCCACCTCTGAGGTTCAATGTGTGTACTCAAGTTATCTTCTTCCCTTTCCTCCTCAACCCATTGGGTGGCAGCAAGATGGGGTAGTAAAGACTTCCGCTATTCCCTCATACCCTTTCCTCTAGAATGGCAAGGGAATCAGATTTGAATTCTGGTTTCACGACATATTATCTATGTAACCCTCTGCAAATCAAACTCATTGAACCTCATTTCCCTCCTCTGAAAAAAATGTGAGTCATGATAATAATTTTTCTTCATACGTTGTGTGGTGGCTGTCTAGGTCTAATGATAAAATGGGTATTAGGAAGCACTTTACAAATTATAACATATGTACACTTATGAGATATTACTATTATATGAAATATATAGGAGGCCCTAGGGCTGAGGATTTGCAAAGACTGAATGAAGAACTAGGGTCTAATCTATGCCTATATCAGTATCCATTTATCTTACTATCTATTATTTTTGTCTTCCAGATATTTACTTATTATTTTTAAATTATTGATGTATATTTTTAAATCATGAAAAAGTTCAAACATAAAAATATTTTTAAGTGCAGAAAATTGTAAAATTAAAATGCAATTACCCAGCATCCATCCAAAGCTAATAAATTATAGCATTTTGCATATTTGCTTCAGATATTTTAAAAGAATGAAGATTTCACAGATATAATGGAATTCGCGATCCTCTCAGTCCTATTATCTCCCTACCTGCTCAGATACAACCACTATCCTGAAATTGTATGTATTCTGTTGGTAGGGTATGCTACAGTAACAAACAAACTGCAAAATCTCAGTGACTTTATACAATAAAAGTTTATTTTTCACTATGCGACGACCTTCCTACCTCATTTGACAGTGCCTTCTAAACCATATAGCTTCCAAGTCAATGATACAGGGGAAGAGATGGAGGAGACTTACTGGTTCTTAACTGCCTCAGTCTGGAATTGACACATGTTATTTTGACTCACAGTTCATTGGCCAGAAGTACTCTGATGGCCTTACTGCAGGGGTATAAGGGGAATACAGGGGATCATGTGGATAACTGGTAAGCACTATGCCTCTGCCATACTCTCCACTAATGTTTTAATACTTGAATTCTTTTGTGATATATGTACATATTCATAACCAATATATGCCATTATTATGTATTTTATAATGTTTTATAGAAATGATATCAAGCTACATATTCTCTTTTTACAATTTGCTTTTCCCCTCTAGATTGTTTACATTGATCCATAAAGGTCTTCAGTGCTATGTAAGAATATGTAATTTCAGGATTATATCATGATTTGTTTATCCTGTGCTCTAATGATGAATGTTTTAGCTTGTTGCCATTTATCTGGATTGTGTTATTAAATGTGGCATGGAAAGATCATAGGATATGTGCATCTTAGATTAATTGTACTAATTTGTACATACCACCAGTATGTGCAAATTCTTTTGCCTTGTTCTTTATAATTTTGCCTGCTCTGGAAAGAAGTAAAACCAGCATAGGAACTCTAGCTGGGGAAGGCCCTAGGGAGAAGGGTGACAGCCTGAGGAAGTCCAGGCCCAGGGTCAGGGTGACTGTTCACTGCCCTCACTAACTGACCTGCCCCATTTTTTTTTTTCTGTCTCACAGGTGCCTTTCAGTTGAGCTTAGTGGAGGCAGATGAACCCACAGTGCCCCCTCAGGAGGCCACACTTGTTGCACTGGTGAGCAGCCTGCTGGTGGTATTTACCCTGGCCTTCCTGGGGCTCTTCTTCCTCTACTGCAAGCAGTTCTTCAACAGACATTGCCAGCGTGGTAAGGGTGGCTGTTTAACGTTTCGCATGAATCAGGAACAAGGCTTTTATTGGCAGAAGAGAGGACTGTTCTGAGGTTGAGAAATAATGGGCCTTTTCTACCTTGCTTGAAAACCCCATGAATAGTCTTCTGTGAGTCTGGGGAATTCTCTGGGGCTGCAGTAGGAAGCATAGGACTTCAGAGATTACTGAGGCTAACGCTGAGAGTTTAGAAGAACTTTTTCATTACATTTCAGGGGTTTGTAAAGGAATGTGGTATGGTGGGATACCACAGGAAAGGAAACTAGAGACCTATGTTCTACAGCTACCGCTAAATCACTATGTAACCTTAGACAAGTCATATAGCCTCTTCAGAACTCTTTCTTCCTAATCGTTAAGATGAGATAGGATTGATCTTTTTGATTTCTGAGTTCTTTTACAATTCTTTATATCTATACTACTAGGTATAAATTCTAGAGCATGTCAGGAATTGAGGAAGGCTTGGCTATATCTGAGATATGACTGTAATAAAAGTGGTTGAGGTCTAAGGCAACTTCTGTCAGTATACTAACTTCACAAATGGGGATAACTGAAACCCCAACGTCCAGAAGAGTTGGCAAACCTAGACTTTCTTCCTCAGATAATACTGATGTCCAAGAGGTCTGGCCCAGTCCATATCAGATGGCCATGCAAAAGTCCAGATGGAAAATCATATATAAAGTCACACTAGATTAATTCATGGAAGACAGTTTTTCCACAGACCATGGAGAGAATGGTTTAAGCATATTATATTTATTGTTTAATTTATTTCTATTATTACTACTAATATATAATAGAATAATTACACAACTTACCATAATTTAAAAAAAAAAGTCACACTAACATTGTGATCTTTGTTAAGCACAACTTCAGCTACTAGACAAGAATATGGGACAGAAAATCCAGCTCACTGAGGGCAAAGATGGAGGAAGTGGGAAGGTGGCTGGTCAGGACCAGGCAAAGAGTTAGAACTCCAGCCAAGAATACCAAGGTTCATTGCAGCTTCAGCACCATTAAGGGAACTGAGAGTTAGGCAGGGACACTGAAATAGGAAACTCAGACTAGAAAATGAAGTTGATTTATTTATAAGGAGGCTGATAAAGTTTACTAGATAAAAGAGTGCTCAGGACTCCTTTTCATCCCACTGGACACTGGACCTAAAGCAGCACTAATTGTGCGGGAAGATCCTGCTAATGTAGATTTGTCTTCGTCAGTTTGGCTCTGGGGCCTGGCAGATGATCTTGAAAAACCCAAGAGGTATATTTGGTTGTGCCCTGGCTTAAATGGAGATGAATATAGCATTTCATGGGCTTCATGATACATGGGGAACACTGTTGTCCCTTTATGATCCTTCTCAAAGTCTACTTCTCTCTTGTCTACTCTTTGCTAGCCCCTGGGACATTGTGACTCAGGGTAGACCTTCCTGTCTCTGACTTTGGAGGCCAGTGTCCCAGATAAGAGGTGTTACTTAGTCCCTGGGTGCATGGACATGAAACATGAGCAGTGAAGCAATTGGACCCCAGGGTCCAAAAGATGAAAATGAGAGAATATCTGAGAGCTGCCTCAGGAGAGGAGAGATGGGTGACTTTTTTCTGCTGTCCTATCCTGAAGATAATAATGTGGTAGCCTTCTTGGAATATAAGGGCAAGAAGCTTCCCCAGTGTTTTTATAAGGGGTAGGAGGGCTAGACATTTTTGGAAAACTTTTTCAGGAGTCACTGACTTACACACATACCGAGGTGAGATGTATGTATGAATTAGATCCAATGTAAGGTTGCAAGAGAGACAAGTAGCAAATGTGGTAAACTAGAGAGCGCTCCCTTGTCTAAAGTGGAATCCACTACTCAGCTCCAGGTCTTTGTAACCATGTGGAAATATTTAGTGTTCCAGAATCTTCTACATTTTCAAGAGAATTCAGAAATCTGGATTTTTGTGTGTGTGAAATTGTAGTAAACATAGTCAATGAATTTGAATAAAGAGCAAAATCACAATCAAAGTTAAGAGGCCAAACAAACACACATCTCACAGGTTCTGTTTTTGACCTGATGTTGAATCAGACCTATGCATAAAAGGTGTATTATTTTCTATCATCATAACAAATCACCACACATTTAGTAGTTTATTATCTCACAGTTTCCATAGCTTAGAAGTTCAGCAGGCTGTTCAGTCTCTGTTAGGAGTCTTACGATGCCAAAATTAAGATATTGGCAGGGCTCTGTTTCTTTCTGGAGTCTTGGGGAGATAATCTGTTTGTTTGATCATGCATGAAGGTGGCAGAATTCAGGCCTATGGAGTTAAAGGGCTTAAGTCCTATTTCCTTGCTGGCCTTAAGCTGAAGGCCATTCCTAGCCTCTAGGGCCACTTACTTTCTTTGGCTCATGGCCCCCTTCTGTTTCCAAAACTAGCAATGGTGAGTTGAGTTTCTCTCATGCCACATCTCTCTCATACTCTCTGTCTCCTTTGTCTTCTTCTGCTGCTTTTAGGGTCACAGGAGTACATTGGACTCATATGAATAATCCAGGATTCTCTCCCTATTTTGAGATCCATAACCTTAATTCCATCTGCAGAGTCTAGTTTGTCATATAAAATAATGTATACAGACATAACCCCAGGCCATGAAGATTATGGCAAGGGAGAGGGTATCAAAATCCTGTTTCCCACAAAGGTTTCTTTTTGTCTAGAGAAATTGATTATTTTCCCTGATCCAGTACCAGGTAACCCAATCTGATACCCAAATGTAAGTATGTTTTTCAACTGTGTCACCTCAGCCTGGTGCTAGGTGCTCTAGTCCCCAGGGAGAGGAAGGTAAGAATCTGCTCCCAGACATCCCTATCTTGTGCTCAGTACCCAGTGCTGAGCTGAGAAGAGCACCTGCTTTTGGGTAACCCAGTGGCTTTCTGCTTCGAGTTGCAGGAGGTTCGCTGCAATTTGAGGCTGATAAGGCAGCAGAGGAAGAATCTCTCTTCCCCATGCCACCCAGCAAGGAGACCAGTCCTGAGTCCCAAGTGAGTGAGAGCATCTTTCAGACGCAGCCACTTAACCCTATCCTCGAGGACGACTGCAGCTCGACTGGTGGCTTTCCCACACAGGAGTCCTTTACCATGGCCTCCTGCGCCTCAGAGAGCCACTCCCACTGGGTCCACAACCCCATCGAATGCACAGAGCTGGACCTGCAAAAGTTTTCCAGCTCTGCCTCCTATACTGGAGCTGAGACCTTGGGGGAAACACAGCTGAAAGCACAGGAGACAGGCTGGAGCTCAATGTGCCCTTTGAAGTTCCCAGCCCTTAACTCTAATGAGGTGAGCCAGAAAGATGGATCAGAAAAAAAGCAAAACAGAAATTAGGGACCACCTCAAGGAATTCCCCTCTGGAATATTATTGTTCACAAAGAGTGGAGGAACAGCAGCAAGCTAGGAACACTTGTGGGTGGAGGGACAACAGCGGTGATGTTGATTTTTAGCCAGTCAGATATCACACTTCTGGGTCTCCGATTGTCAGGGAACTGGTAAGGCTGTCATGACACCAGTCTTTCCATTCTGGCCTTTCACAAGCTCTCTCAGGGCTCCACTATCTAATGGTCACATTCAGCTATCTCCCTTTATATGTACAAACAGCATAGCACAGTAGAAAAAAATATGCAAGCCTTCTCATCGGGAAACCCTATATTTCAAATCAACCTCCATTCCCTAATAGCTATACAAACCTTGTGCATATCCCTTCATTTTACAGAGGCAAGAACTGAGACACAGAGAGGGAAAATTAGTTTCTCAAAGTCACAGAGCAAATTCGTGGGCTAGAACTGGGCAAGAACCCAGGTTTAGGGGCTCCATTTTAGAGTTCATCCAACTGCATCATTGCAACGATTGATAGCCAATGTTACTTTCTCAAAGGCTTAAGCAGCAAAAGATAGGACAGGAGGTAGATTTCCAGTTTTCAACTAATCAAATACCTTGTATCGCCCACTGATGTATTTCTTCAGTTAATACATTTTCAGTTCTCCCAATGACTTCCCTGCTCCCTACATCCAACCTAAGAAAATGTGAACAAATGTACATTTAAAAGTCATAACAGATATCAAATTAATGAACTTAGGTACCGTCAAGGTTATTTAGTCCAGTTCTTCTTCCAAGGCATGTGTCCCTTTTATATATTCCCAATAAGAGTTTGTGCAGTCCTTGCTCACATACTTGAGGTGGCAGATGGCTGACTACTTCTCAATGTATATTACAATATACACAATTGTGACTGGCAGGTTTGAAGTCAATGTAAAAAAAGAGCTTTCTGTCTCCCTTTAGTACCTATCTATGCATCCTGGCTCTGTTCATTGTGCCAGACAGACCTCATCTGTTTCCTCTGTTTTGTGATAGCCCTGCAGAGGCTTAAAGATAACATCGCTTCTCTGGAGAATACCACTTTAGTTTCTTCTAAATTTTGTGGAGCTTAGAACTAAACCCATCTTCATGATAAATGGTTTCACCAATGTAGAATAAGGTAGAATTGTCATATCACTGTCTAGCTAATGTATTTCTGTTACAACCTCAACCATTGGCTTAACGTATGATATTTGGAGGGGTAGAGAGAAAAGGGTGCTAGTGAGATTTCCCCACATTTCTAATTTGATCTGCTCTCTCCCTAGGTCTCTTGGGCTCCTGGCAGCCTTGCCTAGTTGTTCTCTCTGGACTCTGCTTCCTCGTTCCTATACCACAACAGCAACAGGGGCCTGAAATGTGTCCACAACAGCTAATATCCTACAGATGGGGCATATTTTGTCCCATCTCACCAGAGAATTGATTCTCCATTTCACCAGGACTGATCTGCAGCATTTCTTGCTTCCCCATGTAGCCTGGGAGCCAGATTTCCCATTCATAAGACTACCAGACATGTTCCTAGCTCAACTTGATTATATAGAAAAGGTGAGAGAAGGGCAGTGAATGGGGTAGGGTTTTCATGCCTGCATTTTTGGTCAGGTAAGCCTCTCAAAATTGTGTCAGCACATCTACCTAGCACTTTAGGGACAAAATCAAACCCTTCTCCCTTTTTAGCTCCTCAACACTGCCTCTTTCCTCAACACACGTGCGTGCACACACACACACACGTATTAATATCTATCTTGTGGGAGGCCTGGTGCCATAATTCCCCAGCTCGTGTCTCATAGAGTTTCCTAGTTGTGACAGCTCTGAAGCAAGCACATTTGCTAAGGTCCTCTTCCCTACAAGTAGATCTCTACCCTTATTTAGTGAGGATTTAAACTAGTGTCTTTTTTTTTTAGTCCTTCTTAAGTTACTTTCAACATTTCTCTTCTCTTCTTGTCTCTGTCCCTTCCAGGTTCTTCATCTTCTAAAGCCCAAAACTCAGTCTCTAGATCCCAAGACCAACTCCAAGCTCAGAGCTTTGGACTCTGGGTTGACAATAAAGCTCCTGAGGTCTCAGGGACGGAGGAGCTAAAGTTCTCACTGAGTCCTGGCCTTAAGGCAGCTTAGGGACCATTTTGTGCTTTATTGGTTTAGAAAAAAAAACCCAATTAGCATTTCATTAGCTCTTAATACCAGTTTCACATGCTTCTCAGCATGAATAAAACTACTCTTTCCATGGCTCTCTGATAACAAGCAGAGCAAATGAGACCCTCAGGGCTCAGGTGCGAGCATCACAAGTTATTTTTAACTCTCCCCTTTTGTCCATAATGGGCCAATTGGGCTGATTCCCACTCCCGCATAAAGTATCAAGTTTGGAAAGAAAAAGCACTCAAATGAGTGGAGCAACTGGCTCCTTCACTTGAAAGCACCTTATATAGTCTGGATGTTAGATGTGACAATTTGTAAAAATCAAGATAGGGCACAGTTATCCTAGATTAAGAATGCTAGAATTCACTGCATTATGGGTGTCTCCCTTTACGTTTGCAATGTGCTTTTATAGTCATCATCTCACTGGATTTTTACACAGACCCAGAGGTGGGCAAGGCAGAGATTATCATCCCCAATTGACAGATGAGAAAACTGAAGCCCAGAGATGGAAGTGATTGGCTTTAAGCTATTCAGTTATCCAGGGGTGAACAGCAAGCTCGGGTGCCTTCATGGCCTCTTCAATATCTTGAAATCTTCATTTTCTGGAAGAAAATGTTATGGGGTAGGAGGATTTTTTGTTTTCTTGCCATATCTGTTTGAGAAAACAACTCTTTCTGAAAGGAAAAGGGGTAGATAGACACATAAGGCCCTTTTGCCTGAATATGAATGAGGTAATGTCCTTGCCCATCATATGAAGCCTGTTCTCTCTTCGTCCCGCCAGTTTCCCACGACTCTTTCTGCCAGCCTGGTACATTCTCTGCTAGGTCGGACCACATTGGAAAGCTAAAAGATTTGCCATTCATCACTGTCCCAAAGAGGTTAGAAAATGTGAAGAGTTGCGAGGCTAGACAGGGCTCTTTCTTCCTGTCTTTTTTTTTTTTTTTGGTCCCTTGGATGTGAAAGAAGGGATATAGGCTAGAGCCAGTAGGAACATTCATTTTCCTTTCCCCCACTTACCTCCAACTCCTCAGTCCCCTGCTTCTCCTTTCCGCATTTGAGTCTCTAATTTTAGTTTAGGTGACTTGAGGCTTTAACTTTATTTAAAAGTCAGAATGGGCAATTATCCCATCTTTAAAAGCCTAGACAGATACTGTAAATGTTTGGGCAAAAACTGTCAATAACAATTTAGTGCTATACAGTTTTTAAAAAACCTCATTGATATTTTATGCTTATTTTAAATATGAGGAAACTGAGGCCAAAACAGTAGTGACTTACCAAAGTAATTCCTATTTGAGAAAGATAGTGTGGCCTACACATCCACCCACAGACCCAGGTGTGCATTCCCTGACTGAGAGTAGAAGCCAGAGAAGAGCAGCTAGAGCAGAAACTAGGCTTGGCTATGGCATAGAGACAAGCAGGGTTGTGAAAGGCCCTCTTTAGTTATTTCTCTTCACCAGACACTGTGTAAATGATCCTTAAAAGATCATTAAGGAGCATGGGAGAAAGATTAGGAGGTTGATTAAGACAGCCCATCCCCCACTCGCAGAAAAAATAGCTGGCCCCATAGTTTGTTGAGTGTCTCCAAGGCAGCAGTGTAGTCTCCAATAAAAAAAAAATAGCATATGATTTCATCTGCATCTTAGTTCAGTTGGGGCAGGATAAATAATTTTTTACTTTCTGTCCCTCTATTTCTCACCCTCTACAGATTATAAGTTTTTCTTCTGCCTTCTTCTCTAGACTCACTGCACTCCCTGGGGCAGTTGTAGGGTGTTGTATATGTTTGAAGAACAATGGTCCTGCTCTACAGCATAGGGCAGGGTAAACACTTTCCCTCTAGATCCCCTGGGCCTCGCCCGGTATTTGAGGTGCTCTCCACCCTCAGCAAGGAGGAGGGCTGAAGTTTGCCATTTGGGACCTTACAGAACATTTCTGAACCAAAGTAATCTTCCTTCTGGAGCCTGGGTTTCCCAGACTACCTCCCAGCAGTCCTCAAAGACAGCCCTCAATCCATTTAGGGACATCTGAGTATGTGTCTTTCTGGTGAAATGTCAATTGAATCTCAGCTGTCTCCCCACTGTTCCCTTTGATTCTTTCTCAGTTATCTTTTTACCTTTAGTTCCACCTGCACATATCATGCTCAGAGAAAAACAAGTTCCATGGAGGTTGTATTCTTTATTATCTGAGAATCTGTCTGAAACTTGTACAGTTAGTTCTTGTCCCACAAGTATTAGGTGGTTCATTAAGTACATTAGGCAGAATGTGCACTTCATCACCTTATTCTAGCTCTAACAAGAGTGCTCTCTATGGCGAGATTTTTGCTTTTAGAGTTTTATTAAATACTTTAGAGTTTTAATACATAAATATTTTTAGTAAATACTTTAGTCCATCTACAACACTGATTAAGAGCCCCTGAGACAACCAATTGATCAGATTGCTAAAAGTACTTTGGGAAAAAGAAAAAGGTCTCATTGTACTGACTGAGGATTAGAAGTAATTAAAATAGAAACCTGTACCAAGCCAGCAGCCTGGCCCTGCATAGGTATTCACAAATATGTGGCAACCAACAGTTTAGGCCTTGGCCTTTAGGTGCTGTGTTTTTGGTGGTGTGTTTTGTTTTGTTTTGTTTCTGCTACAGTTTATATTATCTCACTGACTTTCACTGATCATGTTTACACCTTCTGGTAGAAGTAGTATCCAGAGAGGGAATGATTCGGCTTGAGCAGGCTGCAGGTGCTGCAGGTGTTCAAAAGCTGCCATGTGATTGGCAGTAGTTCAAGCCCACATTTAA